AATATGTCGTTTGATTTGCAAAAGAGCCATTGCCATATCCTAGAAGGACACTTACAGTGTTGTCACCAAAATTAGCAACGACAATATCCAGTTGGGTGTCGTTGTTAAAATCACCAACAGCTACAGCTTGTGGGCCAGAGCCCGTTGAAGATGTCGTTTGATTTGCAAAAGCGCCATTGCCATAGCCTAGAAGGACACTTACAGTGTTGTCATCCACATTAGCAACGACGATATCCAGTTGGCTGTCATTATTAAAATCACCAACAGCTACAGCTGTTGGGACAGAGCCAGTTGAATATGCCGTTTGATTTGCAAAAGAGCCATTGCCATATCCAAGAAGGACATTTACATTGTTGTCATCCCGATTAACAACGATGATATCCAGTTGGCTGTCATTATTAAAATCACCAACAGCTACAGACCATGGCTGAGAGCCAGTTGAATATGTTGTTTGATCTGTAAAAGAGCCATTTCCATATCCTAGAAGGACACTTACAGTGTTGTCATTGGAATTGGCGACGACGATATCCAGATGGGTGTCGCTGTTAAAATTACCAACAGCTACAGAGGCTGACTGCGAGCCAGTAGAAAATATCGTCTGATTTGCAAAGAAGCCATCGCCATATCCGAGAAGGATGCTTACAGTATTGCCATGTAAATTGGCGACGACGATATCCAGATGGTTATCGTTGTTAAAGTCACCAACAGCCACAGAGAATGGCCAAGAGCCAGTTGAATATTTCATCTGATCAGCAAAAGAACCATTTCCATATCTGAGAAGTACACCTACAGTGTTGCTGCCCCTATTGGCAACGACGATATCTAGTCGTGTGTCGTGGTTGAAATCACCAATAGCTACAGAGTACGGTACACGGTCAGTTGCATATGTCATTTGAATAGGAAAAAATTCATCATAACCAACCATGATGCCTATGGTGCTCGTATCATTGTTGATGAAGGCAATGTCTGAACGATTGTCGCTGTTTAAATCATCTATAACAATGGAGATTGATGAAGAGGATCCAGTTGAATACATTTTTGAGCTTGCAAAAGTACCATTGCCATATCCGACAAGTAGAGCTATATTGTTAGTGCCATTGTTGGTGACGACTAAATCCATTCGATTGTCGTTGTTGAAGTCACCAATGCCAATAGCATATGGAGAAGCAACACCGAGCGAATATGTCATTTGGCTCAGAAACGTTCTGTTGCCGTATCCAAGAAGTATACCTACACTGTTATTTCCATGGTTAGTGACAGCAATATCTAGCATGTCATCTTCGTTTAAATGACCGATGGCAAGCGAGTATGGGTGAGAATGGGGACCAGTTGAGAACGTGCTTTGCCTTGCGAAAGTGCCGCTACTAGTCCCAAGCATGATACCAACATTATTGGTACCAAAATTGGCGATAGCAAGATCCATCTGCTTGTCATTGTTGAAATCTCCACTAACAACCGCTAACGGGAAAGAATCATAGCCTGTAGAGTACGTGCTTGAGTTTGAAAAGCTTGCATTTCCATATCCATATAATATGCTAACACTGTGTGTGCCGTAATTAGCAGTGACAATATCTAGTGCTGTATCATTGTTAAGATCTGCTACATGAATCCAAACAGGACGAGATGATTCAGTTGATAGAACTGTTTTGTTTGCAAAAGACCCATTTTGGAATCTGAGGAGTACACCGATGCTATTTGTACCGAAATTGGCGACGACGACGTCAGGTCGATGATCGTTGTCGAAATCAGCAACAGCAATCGTGTACGGAGCAGAACCATAACCAGTTGAAAACATGACCGGGCTTGTCACAGTGCCATTGCCATGTCCAAAATATATAGCTATATTGTCAGCAGCATAATTGGCAACAACAATATCTAGCGAGGTATCGTTGTTGAAGTCTCCCATGGCAACAGCTCGTGGACCATACTTATAGTTAATTGGATTTTGGGCCGTTGCTTTAAAATTAAGTTCACATTTTGGAACTAAGGAACGCAAGAACAAAAAAATAAAGATTGATCAGTTACTATGATTGAACTATGTCTAATGGATCGTATCAGATTTCGATAATTCTGATGATTTTCTATTGAGAACAGTCAGATCATTATAAACAAAACTGAATGAGAATCAGCATTTTTCAATAAAACCTCGTTGAGTCTCGCGAAACTCCTAGTGACTGAGGAAGAACAGACAGTAGCTAACATGATGAGAGAACGAATTATGAACTGCACCTAACTAAGAGTTCAAAGCTGCATTAGTTTCTCTCTTATTGATTATTGAAGGACATGCCATTAGCTACAATTAGAATATAATGATGATAATTCCGGATCGTTTTCGAAATCAAATGAATGTCAGTATGCCTGTGTTGCAAAACTCTTGCCATTGTGTCATGAGTATCACGCATTGTTGATTAACAACAGAAAGTAGAATACAATAAGTTTTTTTGCGAGTATTCGACATTACACAATGAATAGAACACTGATAGTTCATTAACAGTTATCACTTGATGAGTTGAGTGATGATTGATTTCTTATGTTGAATATTGTGCTCATACTTCAATGTTACAATATGACCTGCATAGCTATATGATGGTTTCGGGTAATTGATAAAAGCTTTTTATTTGGTTAGAGGACTGAGACGGCGAATTATTGTTACTGACAAGGTATCTTATTGGGTAATGGAAAATGTGTCAGTTTAATTTTTCGCTCCAAAGAAACTTATTTTACGAAAATAACACTGTGTTTCAAGCTTGATCAAATGACTTTGGAGTTGAGAAATGTGAATCCATTCATAGTTTCTCAAAGTTTGTAGTATCGTTATTTTCGAGATATAGTCGTTCCAGAGAAAAAAGCTTAAGATTACATATTTCGAAAAGCTACGAACAAAGGAGGAGGACACATAAAAAGACAGATCATCTACTTGAAAACGATTCAATGGCTTCTGAGGCAGATTACAATCCTATATTTTTACTGCAGTCAGATGGCTGTACACTAACAATAACTTTGGGAAAAGATTTCTTCGCCTGCCTACAAATAGTCTCATTTGAAAGACGAGTAAATTATCTACAAATTCTCAGATGAAAAACTGAAGTTATGTCGAGATAATAGTGTTTCTATCGATATTTCGGGTATGCCAGGAAGGTTCTGGCTTCTTAATTGCTTTGGAGACGGCTTTACGATGGACTGTCCTCTTCAAAGTTTGATGCAGTTTTTGACGAACTACATGCTGGTAAAGTTTTCTTGTAGATATCATAATTATACAGATAAGAAACTTCCACGAATCATCCTAGATCGATTCCAGAAAACCACATCATCGGCTTCCGTTCTATTAATATGGATACCATAGGTTCTTCGGAAATGGCAACACATATGGTTGCAGTTTTAGGTACGATCAAACCTTGAAAGGCTTTAGCTAATAAAATAACTAGAAGAAAACTACCCCAACGGTTAGTCCGTCAAAAACTGCATCAAACCCTATAGAAACACTATTAGTTCATCGTAAATTCAGCTTATAGTTATCTTATTGTTGGATATAGCCGTTTAGGTCCACTGACAATATGATATATTAATCTGGATTAGGAACCATTGATTGGTTTTCTAAACAGATTAAATGCGGTGTCCAGTGATTCGCTGTCTCATTCTGCATCGAAATAACGTATGAGGCAGATTAGACGGCTAAACTTTGCATTATAATTTTTACTCACTTAATACGTTGTGTTGTACTTTTTTCTTTCAAAATGCACAGAATTTCGAGAGACTTAACTTCGACCATGCGAAAACGAGATTTTCTTTATACAAGATGAATTCGTTTTTTCTTATTTCATTTCTTTTATCATCTGATAGTTTTTAGTTGAAAAAACAAAATATACTACTAGATGCACCGTGAAAAGCTACACAATTTACACAGTAAAGCTTATTGTATTTGTTTTCGAAAGCAATAAAATTTTGTGCGACAATTTTTCTTACGGTTGAAATTCGATCGCTCAAAATCTTGTCCATTTTCAAAGCAAATGTAACCTGGTATTAAGTAATTGAAAATTGAAATATAAAGTGTAGCTATTTAATCTGCCTCAGCTGTCATAGACTTGTTTTGGAAATACTGATGTGACCAAATTCGTTTTCTTATGTGTTCTTTCTCTGGATTTCATGCTTTCGAACATTTTGGATCAAAGTTCATAAAATAGGCTTTGTTTGAGACAAAAATCAAACTGACCAATATGCCCTCCCTGGCAAGTAGCACTTGCCACATACTGACAACCGTAGTAATGCGAATTTCATACTCGTAAATACCTGTTGTTTGAGCTCAAAGTTTTCTCGTCAGTAGAACTCATAGAATAGAAAAAAAATCCAAAAGAATTCGTACTATTGCCTATATATCAGTAAAGGAAGATTTTCACAAGCTAACTTCTTCCAAACTAATCTTACACCTCGCTACTTATCGTATAAAAAAAAGAGGATCTCTAGCTAACGTTTTTCTTCATAAGGAAATTGCCACGATACGAAGAATGAGAATAAAATAAAAAATCAAGAAAATAATTGATCAGTCTCATGATGATTATAATTTGAAAAAAGAGTGAATCACGTTCTTGTTGCACCAAGAACAATGAATCATTTGCCTATCAATGCAACTCTTTTCATGATATCTGTCTGTTTGAAATTTGAAGCAAGTATCTTTAACATTCTAAAATGGGTCAGGACCAATTTTCAAAAAAGATTTTTCAGCCAGGTGCACTTTATCATAGGTGGAAAAGGCAGAATATAGATATAGGTGTGTGAGTTTATAGAAGAGAAACATTCACTAAAATGGGGGTATATCGATGCTAATGTGAATGAATTTTCGGAATCTTGCTCTTCCTATTCATCATCATGATCCAACATAGTTTTCGTTTCAAATATATGAGGTATACTTTTCAAAATCTCGTACAAACATTTATAGAGATTAAATACAATGTGTTCTTTGCCAGAATTTATTGAAAATAATAATTTCAAGACATTATGATTATTATACATTTTTATTATCGAGACATGTGGGCGATGTTAAAATAGAAACGCGCTTAGTATTTGCCCACTTCGTGAAAATGATTAACTACTAATCAGTTATTCGTTAGATAAAAGTATTAGTTTATGACGTATATACAAAGCTTCGTGGCTTCAAAGAGCTGTAACGGAAATAAATCACTAGAAAATATGAGGGAACATACATAAACCAAACAGAAAGATTGAAAAAGAAAATGAATGTACCTGAACATTCTAGAATAAGGTACATGTACTCATTCAGACAGGATAGTAGAACGAAAGAAGATATAAATGAAACATAGATAGTGCTTACTCTCCTCTATAGGCAACATAAAGTGAGAAAATTTAAAGAAGATGTGTTCCGTGGAGAAGACATATTTTCTTTCGTCACATTCTATGAGAAAATCACATTTATTTTTCCATATTCTTTCGCATTTCTCTTATATTCAAGAACATATCGATGACATAGAGAGAAAAATCCAGGATAAACTGCTGTCTTCATTCAGAGATGTGAAAAATTATTACCAAAAAGTATACGAGAAGTGATTCAGGAACATTGAGTAGCATAAAGTTGATTTTTCTGCAATAAGTAACAATGTGCAGCATCAGTTTGTAAAAGTATAGATTGAAATATGAAGAAAAAATATAGACAATGAAATAATCTTCGTCTTGAAGAAAGTTATTATCCTTGTTCCTTAGAAGGATTCGACCTATGGACAAAGTATCAGATTTGCTGGTGATAATCACCTTGATTGATTCGCATTCATCATTCCTAGTTTGAAATGGAGAATTGAATCAAGTTCAATGATTATCATTCTGCTCTCGCTTGATGATTTGCTTCGAATATGTCTATATCAAATACGATCATAATTCAATTTTTTTTAACCAAAAATTAGACTACTGGTAAAATAGAACCGCATTAACTGTGGATTATTATCTTATTGAATACGAAGAATACAAAGCAACAAGTACGTACCTGAAGATTTCGGTGCGGTAAAACAAACTACCAGAATACTAACGATCATCAGTATACTTATGATCATAGGTAATAAAAAGCCAGGTTTGGTACTTTTCTTAAGTCTTGAACAGCAACAAAGCGTTCTAGGAAAGAGCAACGATGATAATATTTGACATCAAAAGAAAAAATCATACATAGTCTGTCGAAAAGTGAAAATT